CAATGCAGTTTATGAAGAAATACATAGAATATATATATGAACATGGATATGTGATATATGAACATTTCATTCATAATGAATGCTACCTCACAGATCAGTGGGAAAATAATAAATTACTTAATAAATAATGCTGGAATAATTGGGTATATAGATTGAAAAAGCCATGACATTAAGTACTTTCTTTGTATTATACATATATTAATTCCAAGATAGTTAAAAACTTTAATATGAAAGAAAAAACTTAAAAATTTTAGAAATATAAGAATAAGAACAAATTTTATAAGACTTTTAAAAGGATTTTTAAAGACAGACTCAAGCTATAAGCTGGAAGAAGTTATTTGCACCACATATTACTAATGATAAAAATTAGTATTCAGGAACGAACTAAAAAATAGTTCTATAAACTTATCAAAATACATAATTGTCTTCTAATAATGAAAATATGGTTATTCTTATTAGTATCTAGGAAATTAAAACTAAAATCATAATGAGATATTTTAAAAATATAATGTGTAACAATATCTAACTTTAAACCTCCATGCTGAAAACTATAAAGTATGTGGATAAATTGGTAAATCTAGATAATGTATGGAGGATACAGAGAAAATAATTGTACTATTCTTTCCATTTATCTTTGTTTTTTAGAATTCTAATTAAGTGTTATAATTTTGGAAAAAATGTACCTCATTGCATTTTTTATGGTGGTAAAATAGGCATAACATAAAATTTACCATTTTAACCATTTTTAAGTGTATGGTTAAGTAGCATTAAGTACATTCACAGTGTTATGTGCCTCACTGTATTTTTTTTAAAATATGTTTTTATTTATTTTCAGAAAAAAGAAAAGAGAGGGAAAGAAATAGAAGCATCAATAATGAGAGAGAATCATCCCCTGGCTGTCTCCTGTATGCCCCCTCCTGGGGATCGAGGCTGCAACCTGGGCAAGTGCCCTGACCAGGAATTGAACCATGACCTTCTGGTTCATAGGTCAATGCTTAACTACTGACTCACACCAGCCATGCTCTCATTGTGCTTTTAATCAAGTTTAGTCAGGTTTAATTTACATATAAAAATGCACACATTTCTTAATATTTAGTTTTTAGTCCTCATTTGAGGACATGCTTAGAGAAAGAAAGGGAAAAGGAGAGAGAGAGAGGGAGCGAGCGAGAGAGAAACATGGGTTGCCTGCTCTCCGCATGTGCCCCAAGTAGGGATGGAATCCTCAACCCAAATATGTGCCCTGACTGGAAGTCAACTGGCAACCCTTCAGTGCCCAGGGCTACGCTCAACCAACTGAGCCACTCCAAATGGGCAAAAATGTACACATTGTAAGTGTATAATGAAATGATTTTACAGAAGTGTATATTCCCATGTAACCACTACAAAAAATGTTTTATGCCACCAAGTTTTGGAGTGGGGTGTTATGGAACATTAGCTATTAGGCTTGATACAACCCCCTAACAAATGAAAGCCAAGGTTCCAGGGAAGAACTGCAAGCAAATCCAATGGAGACCAGGTCCAATGGAGAGGCAGGTACTGAAAGTGAATGAATTACATAGCCACTGTTCTCAAAATGGCCTGGTACTGGCAAAGAAACAGTCATATGAACCAAAGGGACAGAACAGAGAACCCAGAGATCGACCCAAGCCATTATACTCAATTAATATTTGACGAAGGAGGCAAGAGCATACAATGGAGTCAAGACAGTCTCTTCAATAAATGGTGTTGGGAAAATTGGATGGATACATGCAAAAAAAATGAAACTAGACCACCAACTTACACCATACACAAAAATAAACTCAAAATGGATAAAGGACTTAAATGTAAGACGGGAAACCATAAAAATCTTAGAAGAATCTATAGGCAGCAAAATATTAGACATATGTTGTAGCAATATCTTTACCGAGACTAGCTCCTAGGACAACGGAAACAAAGGAGAAAATAAATAAGTGGGACTACATCAAAATAAAAAGCTTCTGCACAGCAAGGAAACCATCAACAAAACAACAAGAAAGCCCAGTGCATGGAAGAACATATTTGCCAATGTTATATCCAACAAAGGTTTAATCTCCAAAACTATAGGGAACTCATACAACTTAACAAAAGGAAGATAAACAATCCAATCAAAAAATGGGCAAATAGACACTTTTCAAAAGGGAGATAAAGAAGGCCAAGAGCAATATGAAAACATGCTCAAAGTCACTAATCATCTGAGAAATGCAAATCAAAATGACAATGAGATACCATATCACACCTGTCAGAATAGTTGTCATCAACAAATCAACAAACGACAAGTGCTGGCAAGGATGTGGAGAAAAAGGAACCCTTATGCACTTCTGGTGGGAATGCAGAATGGTGCAGGCACTGTGGAAAACAGTATGGAGTTTCCTCAAAAGATTAAAAATGGAACTCCCACTTGACCCAGTAACCCCACTTCTAGGAATATATCCCAAGGAATCAGAAACAAATCAGAAAGGATATATGCATCCTTATGTTCATAGCAGCACAATTTACAATTGCTAAGATTTGGAAACAGCCCAAGTGCCCATCAGCAGGTGAATGGGTTAAAAAACAGTGGTACATACCCTAGCTGATTTGGCTCAGTAAAAAGGTTGGGGACCCAGGCTTTACCAAATCGCACCAGATCACGGTCTTCCCAGTGGGCAGATTTTCCTAGAGTTTTAAAAGTAGGGGTCAAACCCTAGCCTGTTGGGCTCAGTGGATAGAGCATTGGCCTGTGGACTGAAGGGTCCCAGGTTCAATTCCAGCCAAGGGCACATGCCCAGGTTGCGGGCTTGATTCCTGGTGGGGGCTGTGCAGGAGGCAGCTAATCAATGATTCTGTCTCATCAATGTTTCTAGCTCTCTCTCCCTGTCCCTTCCTCTCTAAAATCAATAAAGAAATATATTTAAACACACACACACACACACATATAAAACAGTGGTATATCTACACAATGGAAAACTAACCTACATAATAAAGCCTAATATGCAAATTGTCCCCTTGACTGGGAGTTCCACTGGGAGTTTGACCAGAGGGTGGGGCCAGCGGTAGTGGCAGGCGGCCAGGGAAATGGAGGCGCCCCAGCTGGCAGCTGCCAGCTGCTAGGGACCCTACCTGCACATGAATTTTGTGTACTGGGCCTCTAGTGCTGCTATAAAAAAGAAGAAACTCCTACTATTTGCAATAGCATGGATGGACCTGAAGAGCATTATGCTAAGTGACATAAACCAGTCAGAGGAAGATAAATATCACATGATCTCACTCATTTGTGGAATATAATGAACAGCATAAACTGATGAACAAAAATAGATCCAGAGACATAGAAGTATTGAACAGACCATCCAACCTCAGAGGGAAGGCAGTACATGGGGGCAGGGTAGATAAGAGCGCAATCAAAGAACTTGTATGCATGCATATAAGCATAAGTCATGGATACAGACAGTAGGGGGATGAGGGCATGTGCTGGGGATAGGAATGGCCGGGAGATGTCAATGGAGGAAAAAGGAGACATATGTAAGACTTTAAACAATGAAGAATTTTTAAAAATCTAATTGCAAATGTAAAAAAAAAAAGAATGAAAGATTCAAGGGAACAGGGAAATCAAATCCTGGCAGGAGTAAACTTTTGTTTCTTGTAAGTCAGACTAATTTTTTGAGAACTCTTGTACTGTACTGTTTTCCATAGTGGCTGCACCAATTTGCAATCCCACCAGCAACGCATGAGGGTTCCCTTTTCTCCACATTCTCATCAACACTTGTTGTTAATTTATTTATAATAGTCAATCTGACAGGTGTGAGGTGATAGCTCACTGTGGTTTTAATTTGCATTTCTCTGATGATTGGATGTATCATTGGTGAATATCTTCTCCCAATCGGTAGGTTGTCTTTGCATTTTGTTGATGGTTTCCTTTGCTGTGTAAAAACTTTTTCATTGAGTGTACTCCCATTTGTTTATTTTTTTCTTTCTTTCTTTTTTTTTTTTTTTGAATACTTTATTAGTTTCTGTAATCAAACCCATGTAGATTAAGGCCGTATATATTTAGTACAGTGTGTTACCCCTATACAAATGGAAAAAATTATGTTGAACGTTTCTAGACCAATATGGCTGTTAATTTAATATTATTTATAGCAGTGGTTCTCAACCTTGGCTGCACATTACAATACCCTGG